TAAAATGGCTGAGGGTGCGGGGGTGGAGCGAGCCTCGCGCCGCCGCCACCAGGGCTGCTCCATCCTCCCTCCCTCCCTCCGCCACCATGACGCGCCGGGGAGGTAGCGGGAGTGGCCGCGGACCCGAGCCTGGGGCCTCGATTAGTGCCACCGCCGCATGCCCAGGTGACTCCGGGGTTCGCAGGCTCGTGAGGGCAGCCCTCACGGGACCCCAGGCTCCGGGCAGAGCTCGTTTAGAGAGGCCTTTTTGCGAGGGTTTTTACAGTTCCACTGAGGCTTATGAACAGGCCGCGGAGCAGGCCGACCTACGGGCACACGGGAAAAGGCAGTCCAGTACCCCAGCCCCGACCCCCGGGCACAGCCTCTCGGGCAGGCTCCAGCTGGAAGCCACAAGACCGCCAGTCCGGATCTTTCAGGCTGGAACAGACAGCTCAGAGGTTTGTAATCCAGTTTTGCCTCCTCCCTGTCTGGAGACCACCAGGTCCCGTCGGAGTCCCCTTTGGTCTTTATTCAGAATACAAGAAACAGGTTTCAGCTGCAGTGCTGACTAGAGCGACTGGGATTACTCACAGGGCAGTTAAAAAAGCCAGAGGCTACGAATACCCATATGATTCAGGCAAGAGTTTGCCAGATGGTTTTAACCTTTTTGGAGTCTGAAGCTTCTTCAGAAGAGAACTGGTACAAAACAACTTACTTCTAGATGCCGCTTCTTAATAGTCTGTAACGGAAGAGGAAACATTCCATGCTTCATCTGTGCAGAGCAGAATTCCAGCAGGATCCTCCCCTGCCCCATATGGAGTGGGAAAGAGTGAAAAAACAAAAACCAATATAGCCATTGCTATATTAGGTAACAAGTTTGCTTCCATAAAAGTCAACACCTTGCTGGTGGCTAAAATGTTCTGGCAACAACTGCACATGCAATGTGGATGTTATAGTTAATAATTCTCAGAGAAGCAAAAAAGCACATCACTTCCTTGGATAGAGGCTGAGCCAAATCACTTTGTGGGATTTACTCTGTTTGGACTATATGACACTTGGGGCAGTCTGTTATACTGTGACTTGGTTCTATTTTGTTTCAAACCCTATTGTTTTTCTTGAGAGGAATGACGGATTTGTCATTACAAACAAGCTGTGGGTCTGCTGATAGACAAAACTAGCGCTGAGAGATAAAAGAAAAAATGGAAGGATTCCACTGATTAATGAATGGAAAAAAGATATTTGCCTTTACAGACAAACTGATTTATCAGGTTTGCTGATAAATGAAACTGGATATTGAAAGATGAAAGAAACAATCAGGAAAGACCATAAATTCCATAAGAATTAAAAATTAAGAGGTAGGATTATGCATTAGAGTCTTAGGTATCAGGCATTCCAGGAAGTCTGTACCTCTCAGGTACCTCAGCCAATGGAGAAAGAGAGAAGGGACATGCAGCTGGGAAATAGGATAAAAAGGAGACTGTGTCCTCCAAAAACCGAGAGACCCCAGAGGAATGCCCCATGGCCTCTCCCTTTATTTAAATAAAGTAAAAGGATTCCTCTGTTTCCTTTTTGGACATAAACTTCTGGTGTTTGTGGATTAATTTTCCTGACATTCTTAATGTCACATCATCACTAATAAAAGAACCTGGATTGCACGAGATGCCCAGATACACGTATCTGTTTCGTACAGATTACTTTTTTGATTTAACTGCTCTAAATAGTTAGAAAAGGTTCGGCAAACTGACTTGCCGAAAATTTTTTTTTTCTAACTACAACACTGACACAGCCTCTTTTTAAAATCTTTGCCATAAACAGTAAATAGGCAAGAAAATCTACTTTTCATTTGTTCCAGCTATTTTGTACTTCTTATCATCTTAGGTTTTGAACTGAGTGTAGATTTACCTTGATGTATCCTGCTGGTTGGTAAGGAAGCATGTCCTGTGCCTAAGCCAGCTAAAGCACTGGAATGGCCACAGTGGTTGAGAGCAATGCCTGAGGTAGAACACAACGCTGTTCTCAACACTGGCCATCTCCTGGGAAGATGAGGACTTGTGCAACTTCGAGACCTTTAGCTAGAAGTAGCCTGTTTCTGCTCTTGGTAGACAGTGGAAAAGAAATCCAATTGCTTTCTTAGTCCCATAAGCTTCCAGCATCTACAGCTTGATATTGTTCCACAGTCTATGTTCGTGCTGGTTGGAAATCACTTCTGTATGTTCCATGCCTTCTGTCTGGTATTTCCATATGATGTCCCCTCATGTTTGCATTAGTTAACCGTTCTCTCTTATCTCTCTCCATGCCACTCCTTGTTTCACAAATTTGTAATACAGATTCCTTGCACTACTACCTTACTCATCTCTCTTCTAGGTTGACAAGTCTCACATTTTCTAGGTTCACAGTATCTCCAAGAAGTCAGAGCTTCCATCTCTTTATTGCAGACTTCATATCCTTGCTGCCACCTGGATTTCAGGTACTTCAGGTTGTGCTTCTGCTGAGTGTAGCTCCTCCCTCTCTTCTCCCTTTATGCCCTCCCTGCTGGAGATCTCGCCAAGCCGTGGGACCAACTTCATCAACCTCTTCTTGGCCCTGACCATGCTGGCCTGTGTGCCACAGCAAGAAGCTCTGTGGGGAACCCCAGTGCCTGCAGGGTTTGTCCACTCATGTCCCCAGACCAGCCATCACTGACTGACATCCAGGCTTCAGTGGTGTTGTTGGGCATGCTCAACAAATTACTTTACTTTAGAAGGATGATCATCTAATAATTGAAGACAAACTTTGGTTAATTACAATTAAGGAAAAAATATAACATGTCAGGTTATCATTAGAATAATGAGTCCTAAAATTATACTTACTACAAACAGGGTGAAAAGTCAAATACACCTTGTTCTGTGGAGGCTTTAGAAAGAGCACCATGGGAAACCTTCCCTGCAGCTACAGGTATGCAAATTTTCATAGGATTTACTGATGTGAAAATGCTCTTTTGTTTGGTTCTTCAAAAGATGCCAAAGATTCTGTTTTGAAATCAAAGCAGAAATGAATTTACTTGCTCTTTATAAATAAAGCTGTGGTCAACAGTTTTATTTATAAAGATTAACTGAGGGTGTGTGGTACTTCTAAAGGCTTTAAATCAGGAAGATAAGACAAGGTAGCCTATGGTCAGGAAGCTGACATTCACTACAAGATTTGTAAAATGCCTGCAAACTTTTAAGGGATCTTTAAACAAAATCAAAATGATCTTTATATAACAAAATGTCACAGTATCCTCAAAACCAAATCTGACTGAAAGGATTTTCATTGTCTCTAATGTTGCAAATCCTTTGTATCTTTCCAGTAAGAAACACTCACCAAAGATCTCTGTGGGATGTGATGAGTGTAACAGCACTTCCCAGACAGTGAAGTCACTCTGTACTGATGCTGATTTTCAGCCTTATCACAGAGGTCAAAAGAAGAGAAAGGGATCTTGAGGAGAGGCTGAAGCCAAGGCCTAGAAGGTCTGTTTTCCATCCAGGATTCAGTGCAAGCTTGGAAAGAGTAAAGAGCTTCTCACCTCATTCCCCGTATCAGCAAATCAGGATGGCATAATCATAGCATTTCTAATCTAAGTAATAAATCAGTATCTGGAGCCTTGTGGGTTGGTTATTTATATTAGGAGAAGTGACTGATAAAACCAACTATTTCCTAAACACAATCCTGTTTTGTCTTCACAGACTGTACAGTTAGAATCAAAATAACAGAAAACAAAACTTGTACACAAACTTGGCCATTTTGAAGCAAAGATTCTCCCAGAAAAGATACCTGAGTTTTGTCACAGGCTGGTAAAGTTTTAGTGTGCCCCTTTTTGCACACTGGACCTCCACATGAATTCTGCCCATTGGGAATAATGCACTTTTGTTCACTCCAGACTTTTTTAAAATGACTCGTGTTTTAAAAGAAAATAAAACCCAACATAGCAGTTGGTTGTATACATTTGACACAAAGGCTTACTGATATCTCCAAGTAAGTGCATTCCAAGGAGAAATTTCCAGGATGGGGGAACTGAGGGATGGCTGTGAATAAAATGCAGCATTTTAAGAGAAGGGGCTACTACCAAATGTATGAATTGTTTTGTTTTTTGATGCTTTTTGTTCAAGCTAGTTCCATTCTTCCTTTAGTCTTATACTGGAAACCAGAATTAAACATTTTCTGCAAATCTGTTTATAACAGTTGTCAAAAAATAACAAATTTCTATATTTTTATATGCAAAATACCACGTTCTTGCATCTCCAACTGGGCCTTTTGGGGGAAGGAGCAGGAGGAACGTAGAGACAAAGTCTTATCACTTTGAGTCATTGTGTAGAAAAATTAACAGTTCTTGCGAGCACTGAACAAATACATTACATAATTAAATCACTGGTTTAAGCCCTATTCCATGTGTGAAACTGAAATGTACCTGCTTGCAGACATAACTTTTGTATTGTGCAAAACCATCAGCTTCATTACCTGCTCAGATGTGTGCAGAGGTTAGAGCTACTTTGCTTTCCAGAAGTAATGCCTGACAGTAAAACTCTGTCTGCTTAGGCTTCAAGACACTAGAGCAACGACAGCACACATTTTCTGGTTTTCTCTTTTCCTTGATTCTTTCCTATAAGAGGGTACCTAGTTATTTTCTGGTCTTGGGTCAAATCAGCATGCACAGGCAGTTCCATTGAGAGTGGTTGGGTCACATGCTACACAAAGCCACAGATGAAAGTAGTTTCAGTGTTCTCTTACTGTCCAATTTATCACAAAACTGCAGAGCCCTATCTGAAGCACAGCCTTAATGTATTAGATCACAAATAGGATACATTATGGACCAGAAATTCCTGACGGAAGAATATATATCTTAAGGAAGGAAAGCAGTATTGATAGAGAAGTTTCTGATGCATACCACAAAAAATCTAGGGAAAGATGTGGAACTCTAAATTTAATTTTGTTGGTGCCAACAGTTACATGTCTTAGTGGCAGAACAATCAGTAAATCACCATAGATAACAAAATACCTAAAAGTAGACTTCAGAGGAAACTTTGAACAGCCATTGAAAAAAAAGACTGAATAGTTAGCACATAATGAAATATGTTGTATGCTACCTAGAGACATTCACAAGAAAGAAAATTAAATGCTAAATGTTAAACAGTAAATGTTTCATTTAATTTTTCACAAGATCTAGTCTAAAGTGCATAACCACAGCTAACAGTAGCCACAACAGGCCAGACATACTGCAAAGAGCCCATGAGACTATGATATATTATAGGTAAAACTATGGCTAAAAATTGTCTTCTTTCAGCATTTCTGTACTCTTCTCACCAGTTCTCTTGAGTCTTATAGTTTCCTTTAAAGGAATGATAACATTTTAAATATGGTGCCCTATTTTAGTATGAAACCGTTTGGGCACTTTATTAGAGCTAGAACTAGACTTCAGTGAGGACCTTGACCTCAATAGTTTTTCTTTTTAAATATGTGATGGCAGAAGATTTTGACAGGAACAGCAAGGCCACCTCCTGATACTTCTTTCCACAATTTTATTTTTATTTAGAACCTAGATAGAAAAAAAATTACTTGTTCACCTTAACTTTGTTTCAATTTTCCATTTGAGCTCAATTTTAAAAAAAATACAATACTCCATTTTAAAACATAGCAGTAGTCCTAAACATGTATGTTTGTGGGCTGGCTGCTGTTTCAGCTGCATTTCTGAGGAACATGGGAGAACAAACAGTAATGGTGCTCCTGTACATGTTGGTCTCACAGGAAGCAGTTGCGTGTGCATGTATTCCTTATTTGCACAATGAGAAATAATGTTGGCAAGGCTAGAATGACTCAACTTACTGCTTATCTGTTTATTATTATGCTTATTCCTATAAGGCGTGTGGGAAAATACACGACAGTACATTGCATGAAGGACAGACATCATCTTGTGTCCAAACTGTATTTTGGTGCAGAAAGGAATGCTTAACTCATTTTAGAGTAACTGGCTTCCTGTGTAACAATTTACCTTTTACACAAAGATTAAATATTGTGTTTCTCTGGATTTTGATATTTCATTTCTTAAAGTGAAAAAAAAATCAAAACATAGTCCTTAACATTGACAGACTGAGCTCTTTTCTATACATAATAATATAAAAATCTAAGAGAAATTCCTAAAAATTACTTGGTGATAGACTGGCAATCTACTTACATGCAAGTCTAATAAAATCTTGTTATTGTGAACTGCATTCTGTGATTTTTTTAAATGACATGTACATTTTCCTCTTGGAACATCTGTTTCTATGGTTGTAAATCCCTATAAAAACCAATACAAACTAATCTTGCTTTCATCAGATATACTTATTTTTTTGTATCAGAGATTGCTGTGCCCAGAGCCTAAAATTACGGAGTTTCAACACTGAACTCTAGCCCAAGGACAGAAGTTCTGCATATAGTAGGTAGCCTTCAAGTACTACAAGCAATTCCAGCAAGTTGCCTGACATGCTCCAGGAGTTCTGTTTCAGCCTGTTCCTGAAATGGTAAGGGAGTACTTACAAGACAGTCTTGCAGCTTCCGTTCTTTAATGATTCACAAGACACTGCACCTATAAGAATCTCATTTACCCAGCTTGTCAAAAAAGTCAGGATTTTGCTGGAATTCAAATTATATTCTTTTAACTCTGCCTTTGCAACAAGCTTTGAGACAGCTTGTTTTTTGTAACACAACCGCTTTCTTCAGAGGCTCGTTGATGACTGCACTGTTTCCCATCAGCCCAACACAATTACCTCCACAGCACTGTGGAACATTGAAAAAGTAACACAAATTCCAGGAGCAATGTCTTTTAAAATGTAATTTACAGACATTTTGCTGTAATGGTACAGACCCATTCATCAATCTTGGCTATTACACTGAACAGTGTAAGAAAGGTATATGATTACTTGGTCACCTTTTTCAGTCCCTTTAGGAGTCACCCATAAAACACTACCCACATACACTTTTACCTCTCCCATCCACTTAGGTCTGTATAAGCTCTTGATTACATGAGCAAAGATGCAAGAATAGCAGGTTTCTATGTACTTAATAGCATTTTTCAGTCAACAAGTCAACATTTCCTTTGCATAGCAACTTCATTGCCAAAATATTTTGGGTCTAAATTGGTCTGTTTCCATTCATAATATTTGTGGTACACAAAGCATTTGTCCATTAAAAAAACAAAAATGTCATATAAAGATGGGAAGTGCAGCTCAAAGTACAAAAACGGTATTTGAATTCTTACCTTAAAAAGTGCTTCCTGTGAGATGAAGGATTTGACTCAGCACTCAGTTCTGTAAAGTAGAAGAATTTGTAATGAAGAGTCCAGGTGAAAGTCAGTCTATAATGCCATGGTAAAGTTATCAAAACTGACTCTTAAATGTTTGCCCTTGTAATATTGACTTCCCTTTTGACAGCAAAACAGAAGAGAATTCTTTTTGCACTACCAGTTTGTCATATCAGTGGCTGCTACATACTTGTACATGTTGTTCCTCAGGTTTACAATTAACATCATGTATGCAAGAAATATTAATGGAATATACTTCATTTACACAATACTTCTAATGACCATGCTTTTGTTTCTGTCAGTAGTTGTATTACAAGTTAATTCTTGGAGTCAGTTATTTAATGTATTCACATGACCACATATGCAAATTGTTTGCAAAATGTAGTAGCTACAGAAGAAGTAAATGCTTGTGAATGAAACCAAGTTCTGAAGTTCACAGGCGCTGGGGCTGGGGAGGGGAACCCTAGTACTCGGGGTCCAACACTGCCCAAAAGCAGACACCACCACCCCAACCCCAGGATACCTGTCTCCACAGGCCAGCCTAGGTATCAGTATTACACAGCTGACAAGTATCTTGGTAACAGTTTCTTCTTGTCCAGGTGAATAGTATCACTTACAGACCTATTTTCTTACCAGACAATGATACTTAAGAAAGATGAGGCTAGGGACTTTCAGCTTTAGCCACTGCTACTTAGATAATTTAACTCCTTCATCGGTACACAATGGAAGCATCCTCACATAAAAGATTGTAGCAGCTTGAGAAAATAAGAAGGCAGTGCAAAAATAGGCAGGGTAACAAAAGCTACATTATATCGACTGAGCAACTCCATCTCTTACCAAGTTTTAGAATATTATTTTTCATTAGTTCATCCAACTATTATCAGGCCTAACAAGAGATGCCTTGCTTATCTCCTCATTATCAAGGATACAAACAGCAACAGGGCTGTTTTTCCTTTAAATATTATTGATCAGCATTGACAACACCCTTCAGGAGAAAAGTCAGGAGCAGCCCAATAGTCAGACCAGGACACCAGAGCACAGCAGTGTCAGTGCCTTCTCTCCCCTCACACACAAGTGACGATCAGTTCTGCCTGCAGAGGCTTCTCAGTGAACAGAACATGTGCAAAGTGTGTAGCACAAGACCAGTGTTAGTTCTCAGAATTTAAAGGGCTGCTTAAAGCAAAGCAGTTATATATGCCTTTATAAGACATGTTTTCACACTGGACTTACATATGTTACAGTAAGATCTGAACTCCCCAAATACCAGCTATGTGCTGCGTGAACCGGTGTAAGTTCATTCCTTCTTATAACTTCTCATATTAGAAAGGAATTCTATAATTTGGAAACAAACCACATAATAGAACGTAAGTTCACTCTTTTCCCTTTTTATCTCTATCAAATTTTGTTTTATACTGAGCATTTGACAAAACACACTGTGGCTGGACAATTAAAAGCTATATCCCTATTCAATGTTATTCAATATTACACTGACATTCACCTCCCTTCCCAGAAATGGCTGCCCACAAGCATTTAGAAGTATTACTGTGCAGAGTAAACAAGAACTCCTTTGAGTAGCAGAGCTGATGAAGCCTTACAGGTTTTTAATAGATTCAAAACCCTAGCTCTTTTTCTTCCATGGATTCTCTGTTTATAGGATAATAGATACTGTGCTCTCAGTGCTCTACTAACTCTGTTACTATAAAAGATCATTCAACATTATTCACCATTTCCATGCTAAACCAGGTTGCCATGTGACTGCACATGCAAATGCTGTGTGTCTTCAACTTCAACCTGATGTGAGAGCTCGGTCTATTCAGGGCCGAGTTCTCTTGGGATACTCCTCCACAGGGAGTTTCGCTTATCCTAGTTCTGTATCAGGAAGAATACTCCAAAGGCTCATTAGGCTCTTGTTTCTCATGTTTATTAATATATTATCAAAAGACTTGGCAGTCCTCCCTGGACTTTCTGCTCAAGTTCAGCCCACCATTGACTGGCTCAAATTGGCTTGAATGGCGCAAAATGGCCCCGAAATATGCAGCTCTTTTACCTTTTTACTTATTTTCACCCAATTAACAACAGACATGTAAATTATTTTTCTTAGTCATCCAATGACCTAACACCTGTGTGCTGTACTGCGGCATTCTCTATCCAATCACTTACTACTACCCAAAAATCTGTAGAAGAAGATGAAGGACAAGAGACACCACCCTAAATACTCCATCTTGTCTTCTGTTCTCTAAACTAGTTTTAACTCCAAACTTTAACTTTTTCACCCAGTGACTTAAGAAAACTCTGATTTAAACACACTCTTAGTTTTTCTGTTTAACAGTTAATTTTCTATTTAACAGTTGTTTTCATGGTGTTATGTTAAATTCAGTGTTTTCTTGGATGTCAGAGCCGAGTATCAGAGATAAGGGCACGCACTCTGTGCCTCAGACTCCAGTATATATACTGATAACCCAGTATCAAATTCTTACAAAAAAATTTATAAGGTGGGACACCCTTTCTTCATATAGATTTTATTGTAAAGTCTTGATTCTGTCCTAGTTATCCTGTGAAAGCAGCTTTGTCTAATGCCTCAGGTAGGAATTTCAGATAACAAACCCCACCAACTTCTTGTTCAAGTTTACTCACAAAATTTGATTTATAATTAATGCTACCATTTCATCTTTTTCCCTATTTTGTATAATAATTTCAAACATTACACACTTTTATACTCTTCTGCAAAGTGCTACAAGAGCACTTGAAGTGCATAGTCCTTGCAGTGCAGGAGAAGCACTACAGATAAAAATGACACCCTAATTTCTGAGCATTTCCTTTTACTTTTGCTACTCATTTAATGCTAAAACTATCAATTAATTTCTGATACTTGTTTCCAATTTTCACTTTTTTTTCACATAGCAAACCCAGCAAATACCACCTCAGAGCAATTTCCATTACTTTACATCCCACAAACAAAATTTAGGACCTTTCACAACTGATCCTGCAAATAGACATGATTAACCTGGGGAAGTATCACACAAAACAAAGGAACAAGAACAGGTATTTCCCCAAAAAAAGACTCCATGAGAACTGCAACAGGTATTTAATGAGCTTCCACTGACTTCACCAGCACAGGGCTCTGTGCTTACTTGGAGGGAACCAACTTAGATGACTGAAATACTGTGAAATTAATCTCCATTATGACCCCACTGACTTCTCTGGTGCTACACTGGGCACAAGGCTGGCTCACAGGCTATAAAAAGTGTTGGCATGAGCACAAGGGAGTTCAGTAAAAATGTTAAGAGGATTAGTGATGAACAGGAGTCTTAAACAGTTTCAAAACAGCAATGGAAGATTTAACTTTAGACTTACTATTTTTCTATGGTATAACTTAATAGCAATTCCTCCTAATACTGGATTTAAAAGTTTAAAATAAGCCATAATAAGCCCTAATAAATACCTCAGGAGGTCTACTGTAATAATACCAGTTAAGCCTAATAACCACCTAAGTCTGTAGGTCTAAGACATTCCCCTGGGTGTTAGGTGATAGTTCAGCCAAATACTGAAATGTCCCACTTGGACAAATAAATGAATAGTTTTAGCAAGTTGAGTTTAAAATACCTGTCACCCAGGCCATATTTTTATCATTATTTTGCCAACCCAAAATTATGATAAATAAATGCTGTCAAGCTTTATCTCATGACCAACATATTCCCAGAAGGATTCTTTTTCCCTCCCACAGTCCAGCTGATGAAATGGAACAAGGATTTTAACATTCAATGACAACATCATGGTTATTAAGCCTGTCTGAAGACAGAATTGGTACAAATCCATCTGGAGTTAATAAGAGGGATTTCTAAGAATTATTATTCACAATTATTCATGATATTTAAAGCAGACTGCCCCATTTGCAGAGAAGATGTGAAACCCTTCCTCCTCCTTTCCCTAAACCACCTTTTAAGATTCAGAGAAGAAAGGAATTACATTTTAGCAATTAAATTTCAGAATCTGCTAGAGAATTTTATACCATTGGTTCTACAAGCTTTAGACTACTACACTCTACTCCTTACAATTTAACCAAAATATTTCATATTATTCAGGCCACTCAATATTCAAAAATACACTGTGGGAACCTCTTGCTTCTGCTATCAGGAAGATGATGGCTATGGAGCAGTACCGAGGCAGAATTATCAAGTTTGACTTACTGGTTATTTTGACATTCTGTTGACTCAACTTGAATCTACACTACAGGTAATATCCCAAGTTGCCAGTGAGTTGTGCCGCTCACATAAGTTTACTGATTTTATTTTCAAATTATCTTCCCTTGAACTGCTCTGCCTTTGTAGTATGGCAGTGACCAATGACTTCTTTGCTAAAAATCACCTGCTTCCAAAAAAGGGAAGGACAGCTGTTCAATACCAGTAAACACTCCAGTTCTGGAAGACTCTTCCTCCAAGGTTCAAACCAGGCTAAAGCCAAGCAGGACTGGGAGTGCCACCTGCTGTACAAGTTTAATTTTTGTTCTCATATACAAAAGCAAGCAATTTTGTAACAAAAGGTTAATTGCTGAATGATGGTGAAGGTACAACTGACACCAAAGAAGGCTTCCAGCAATGGCACTTTATTGTTCTTTAGTACAAACTTTTATACTCATCTTACATGTATCACACCTGTGTGCCTTCTCAATCCTTTTGTGATTGATCAGCACACTGCAGCACTCCGTATTTCATTGCCTTCAATATTGGTCACCTGTCTTACACAGCTGTAGCCCATTAGGGATGAGGCTCAGCTGCAGCCCCATTCCCAATCACCACAAACTGTGTGCCTACAATTCCCCCTTTCTTTTCTTTTAAATAAATGCCATGTCTACCATCCTTCTACAGGGTCCTTGCAGAAGAAATAGCAAACGTGGTACAAGAATCTTTTTATGTAGGTTCCACTGGCTCTGGAATGCATCTATGTACTGACCTTGATTCATTCCCCAAACCTACATTACATACTATCAAAATCCTTATATCTACACTTCTGGAAATACCTACATTTATAGAATATTGACAATATCAATAGCTGTAAAACTTCATAAAGCAACATACAAGAATAAGCTAAAAGCTTTATATTAGGTTATTAAGAAACTCAACAGCTATATAATTCTATCAATAGCTACACAACTTCGACAATATCAATAACTATACAACTTCACAAAGTAACATACAAAGCTAAGATAGGCTCTATATATATCCCCATCACCCTTTGCTTCTTCCAAGGAGTCAGGTGAGCCACAGCTAGGTTTGAGGGGCATTATCTAACACAGGTCAAATGCAATGAGCAGGTACCCATCAAACTCCAATATCTGTTGAAATACAGGCATATCCACGTCCCCAGGTAACAAGATTCCCATAGGCCTCCTAGGCTCATGCTTGCAAATTACAAACCCAGACTGGAGTAGGGCCACAGGCCCTGTCACTTGGTGACTGTAATGACAAAAAGTGTGTTAGAATAACAGGTATTGTGCATGAGGGAGGAATAACAATATAAATACAGCTTTCCAAATTCTTGCCTGTAGGACCTCACTTATCATTCCCCCTTTTTGTTTTTGAAGAAAGGCTTTAAGTGTACAGTGAAAGTGTTCTACAATAGCTTGACCAGTTGAAGAATGAAAAGTACCAGTGTCATGCTGAACACCCCAGGCTTGCAAGAATTGTTGAGTATGCTGAGCTACATAACCAGGTCCATGTCCTAGTTTAGGGCAAATTTGGAAGAAAACCTCCAATGGGGCCTCCCCAGGAAGCAAACCCACATGGCCCCTTTCTCCCACCCCCCAACCAGTTCTGGAAGAGATTTCTCTGTAAGAAGTGGAAAAAACCTGTTTATTTCACAGGCAGAGCACTACCCAGCACAAGAATGAACAATATAAAATTACAAAACCTCTCGCCCTTCAGAAGAGATGACAAATTCAGAGGGTCTCCCTCCTGGGGGTGTTGGCTCTGTTATCAGTCCTTGTGGCGCTGGAAAATGCCGCTGCCCAGGCTGGGCTCCCGGTAGCCCACGGGTGCAAGCTCCCGGTGCTCCCCCGAGTCCCCAGTCCAGAGCAGGTTTGATCCGTTCCAAGGAAAAGGAAATAAAACAGTCCAGGAAGATCTCTCACTTTGGCTAGTTGAAAAGCCAAGGCGATCTGTCCCTTGTTGTCTGTGCTGTAGACAAAACCCTGTCCCAGGATGCGAGGGGAACAAGTACAGTCTCTGATAACAGACTCGGTGCTTCTTCTCCACTCACTTTTACTCTTAGATGAAGTTTTAAGGATACAAAACCTAATTCTGGGCTAGATGGAGGAATGGGGATACAATTTAACATCACAATCACCCCAGGACAGTCCATTATATCTCGACAACCTGTGGTACACCTAAGGCTGCAAAGGCATCACATCAATGCAAGATCACATCCCTTGCCTTCTCTCCTACATGTACAGAAGCCAAAGAGGTCTTAGAATAAGCGTCCACAGAACCATATACATATTTAAGGCAACCAAACTCTGAAACATGAGTAACATTAGACTGCCATAGCCAAGGAGCTCATAGACCTCTAGGATTCATCCCATCCTGAGTCACAGTGACATGTTGCTGACAATCAGACCGTGAGGTAACAATATCACATGCTGCTGCAGATGTAAAGTGGAAATTATGTCACATAGCACAAGCCTCTTGATAGAAAAATTTATGTGACAGAATTGCTTGTTGTAAAGGGTCTGGTACTGGGGCAGCACATGCTGGGGGTGTCAGCTTGTCTGCACAAGCATTTCCTCCCACAATGAAACCAGGAAAATTAGTATGACTACAAACATGAAGAATATAAAATGGTGCAATTCGTTGACGTAAAGTATGCCATAATATTTTTTTAAAAATGAAACAGTTCCTTACCATCTACCTCTTTCAGAACAGCATGATCTAATTGACAAACCATATTGCATACATATTGAGAATCAGATACAAGATTTAAATTCTCATCAGGCTTTGAAAGCCATTATGACTGCTCTTAATTCTCCTAACTGAGGGCATCCATCTTGGTGGTCTATAAGATCATGCTACTGATCTCCATCCATCTAGGTGACAACTGCTTTTCCAGTCTGCCCTGATACATCAGTAAAAACTGTGCACCCCTGTAAAAGGGTCGAGGAATAAATACAGTGATGATTCCACAATTTGCAATTTGAGTTGTAGCTGCAAAAATTTACGTGCAGGGTGATGGAATAAGATTTTTCCCAGAAAGTCTACCATAGCCATTTGTAAAGCAGAGGTATTTGCCATACACCAGTCTCAACAGTCAGAGGTCAAGAGTCAGTCATAATGGCTGACTCTCGCCCTGATAACTGGACACACCATTGTTTGACTTTACAAATTATATGAGCAACCAATTCTAAGTGAGTGGTAACTGTCTTCCTGCACTGACATTGATGATATAGAATGATATAGATGATATAGAATGAATGACATGATGATATAGAATAATAGAAATACCCATTCTAAGAAGTGCAAAGGATCTTGCCAGCTGTTATGCCACTGGGCTACAAGGCCCGCGGGATGGTTCTAAGACAGTAAGATATATACACTGAGAGGTATTGGTTGTAACCACACCCCAAGCTTTTTTCCTTTGTATTGCTAAGTCTATTTGCTTCAATGGAGCAAGCGCTTCTGGTGACAAGCTCCTGGAAAATAATAAGGAGGGATCAACTTTCAATAGATCAAAAAGTGGTGCCAACAGCACATTCAATAATCCCAATAATGACCTGGTCCAATTAATTGTGCCTAGCAATTTTTGCAAGAAATTCAATGTTCAGACAGAATGCTGAATGGACACCATCTGAGGTTCAACAGTTTGGCCCAAGATTTTCATTTCCTCTGGGGGCTTGTTGCTATACTTTCTCAGGAGCAACATACAAACCATAATTTGTCAAAGCCTCTTGCATTACAGGCAAGAGCTGTAGAACATCTAGCTATTCTACAGTTGGGGCAGCAACTAAGATATCATCCATATAGTGATAATAAACCTGAGGAAATCGATCTCTGACCAGTCATAACACTTGTGCCACATACCACTGACAAATTGTACGGCTGTTTTTCATCCCTTGTTGTAACAGTCCAATGATATCTTTCCCCAGGTTCACTATTGTTAACATAGGGGACAGTGAAAGCAAACTTAGGAGCATCATCTGGGTGAAAGGGTATAGTAAAAACCAATCCTTCAGATCAACAATACAAACATCGCAAGTAGCTGGAAGTGTGGTGGGAGAAGGCATACCTTGCTGTAATGCTCCTATGCTTTTCATCACCTCATTAACCTGATGGAGGTCATGTAAGAGTCTCCACTAACCAGACTTCTTTTTGATAACAAATACTGGTGTCTTGGTTTAGAAGACAGGTGTCTGCTAGGGAGGGCAGGACAGGGGGTGCAAGGCCCACCAATGAAGAAGAAATAAGAAGCAGCAGCTCTGCAGCTCTGGCTGGGTGATGGCAAATTCTTCTCCCCAAGCAACCACAGCTCCCCAAGAGTGTTCTGCTCTTAAGCTGAAGAAACCAGCCAGCCTCCAGCTGCCCCCACCCTCCCTTTTTCCTGACATCCCCCCCACCCCGCTGCCAGGCCCAGCCAAACTCTTCATGTTTCTTAACCATCAGCAGTCAGGTCTCCCTGCAACTAATGGGTAAAAATTCCATAGGTGTGATGGAACAAAAGGAAGGACATCTAACCCCCAACAACTGGAGTGTTCCAAGAACTCAGTGATGGCTTAATATGATTGAGTGCCATGAGAGCAGTCAATTTTTCATGATTCAGGGGCCACTGGTCAATCCATATAGGCTGTGTAGTCAGCCACTATAATGGGATGGCAGGTCTATGCTGACTGGTCTCCACTGTGGCCCCTAGGAAAAATTCTGCTGTTGCATTGTTAAGGTGACTCCCCATTGAGTCAAACAATCACATGCCCACAAATTTAAAGGCACCAAACTTACATAAGGGCAGATGGTAGCTACCTGCCCATGAGGATTAATGAGATAAGCAACTTTGGTAACTGGCAGTGGTAGTTAGCAACTCCTGCCACTGCTGCAGTAAGTACTGTGGGCCAAGCAGAAGGCCACTGTTTCTTTGAAATAATAGTGACAGCAGTTCCTGTGTTAATCATGCCAGTAATAGTCACCTGCGGGGGGAACATTGTGTGGATTGTAAAGCACACATCATATTGGGTCTAGAGTCAGTAACCATTTGTGTCCGAAAAACCTCAGGGGTGCCTGTGGACCTAATCCTGTCAGTTCCTCTCTTGATAGATTCTGCACTAGGTACTTATGGCACAAAAGGGACCAATTGAGCAATACGATTTTGCTTAGCTATGGTGACTGGGGGTGACGGTGTCTACACTATGGCAAAAATCTGCACAAGACAGTCCGCATAACTAAGTACAGGTAACACAAACAACCCTCGCAAAATAAGTTATTTTTGCTTAGGTATGGTGACTGGGGGTGACAGTGTCCACACCATGGCACAAATCTGCAAAAGATAGTCTGCATCAGTAAGTCCAGACAAACAACCCTTGCAAGGTAACACTTGAACATCCC